TAACATCATTGGCATTTGACAGGCAGACGACGCGTCAGCTTCCACACACAGTACAATTCAAGTACGAGCACCCGCTCTCCACCCTCGACACCTCCCTGTTCCTCGCCCACCCCGGTCAGGCTCACCCTCAACATTTCCCTGTATCTTTAATTTTATGCAGCGTCAAAATTTTTGGTTACCCAACTCAAATGGATGACCCTCGTTCCCGTTCCCGTTCCCGTTCCCGTTCCTGTTGCCTTCACTGCCATTCACTGGCTTTATTCAGCATTGAAGACGATTTATGACACATTTTTGATTTGCTGCATTGAGTTGCACGAAGGGGTCAGGATGTCCGTTAACCGCTCTGTCATGCTCTGTCAATGCGAACACTTGTCAATTCCGATTCGAACGCTGCCGATTCATCAACAAGCTGACTTCACGTTCAGAGCACTTGAACTAGTTCCTTTTTCAGATGAAACTGTGATTTAATCCATAATCAGTCCAGGCATACGTTCAGCTAGAAAATACTATCTTATCTTATCGATTCTTTAGCTGACTGATTAAAGGATTGAACTGTTGAAAATATTATATGAGCCTTCTCAGTTCATAAGATTTAATCAGAACACACTTTTAGCTCACGCCCAGATATATTTATCGATTCCTTGGATTGGATTCCAGCAGTCAAAAGCTTGGAACATTTCGTAATTTTATTTTTCTTAGAGGTAATACGCATATTGAAAGAATACTAATACTCTGTCTTTGGAAGACATGAATTTTTCCCATAAACCATAAACCATAAACCATAAATCTCATTTGGAGTTTCTAATTATATATCTATAGAATATAAAGTTTTCCAGAGGAGGCGTATAGTTTTTGAGCAACTGTCAAATTTTGAGACTGACTCCAAAACACATTACAACTCAAAAAGTTTAGAAGACATAGTTTTCATCGGTCGCCACGTAGATAGGTATACATATATTCCATATTTCAGATTTAAAAATTTGCAGCTTACATAGCGCCGAAATATATTCCTTCAGATCGTGAATGGCTATTCAGTTGTCTAGTATTTAAATAGGTAGAGAGAGCACTTAGGGTACTATAAAGCATTTGGGTTGTTTGATTAATTTGTCGGCTTGCGGCACTTTTATGATTTGCCAGCATCAGCATCAGCCTCAGCATCCGCAACGTTGCTGTTTTCTTCTCTTCATGAGCGAGTCGGAGTACCCGCATAATAATGGCCATACAAGTGCCCAATTTCTGGGAACACTTCTGGGTCGTGGCGGAAGTCGAAAGTGTGAAATTCTGCGAAAGGCGGCCGCGTCATTGATTAGTCCATGAATGAGCCTCGGCGTCGCCTTGCCTTTAGATCTGAATCTAGATGTGCCAACAACGTGGCACATGAATCAAAGCTAGGCAAACTGGGACTTCAACTCGAACTCGAACTCGAACTCGAGCACATAAATCAGCCGTAGACAAAGTCAAAGCCGGATCATGTCTTTTGGCATGTAGCTACATGGCACGCATAGTTGTACGACACGCCGCCCCACGCCACTACCTGCCCCACTCACCTGTGATCGTTGGTCATTTTCGATTTGCAGTTATCGAAAATTCGCACATTTTTCTTACACCTACCCACCGGCCCGCTCCCAACGGCCACGCTGTGCCTTGTTGAGGCCGGCAATTAAAATTGGCTCCCTTCCTCTGCGCCCCAGGGCTGAGCATCGACTGTTCTCTGTGCTCTGTACAATTTGCGGAGCAATGCTGTTAAATAATTTATGAAGTGCGTAGGGTTTGTGGCGCGCATTTCAAGCAGCGCCTGTCAACTTCAATATATGTAGTATATATATACATATATATATATATATATATATATATATATATATATATATATAAATGTGTGTGTGAGGGGGGTGGAGACTCGCTCACGCACTTTGTGCGCACAGTCGGAAAATATTTGTCCACGCACTTTTTAGCTCATTTAACTTTTTGGACACATTGGTTGAGCTGCATGCAAATGCTGCTGATTAACTTTTGCCAAAAAAAAAAAAAAAAAAAAACTAAAAAACGGGGTGAGTGAGCGCAGGTGTGTGCGTGCTTGTGTGTCAGACATTGGCGCCAGTTTTTGCTAGGCGGTTGCGCTTTCTGCCTCAATGTCAGCGCCATAAATCAACGGGTGCCACACAGAAACACGCGCCAAGGCATCGAACTGAAAATCAAAAGTGAACCAGAACCTGAACCTGAACCGAAATCTAATTGTAGTTCGAGTTAGCCAAGTGAAGCTTATGTTAACTGGAGACACGTTCTGGCCATAACAGAGGGCAGCTGCCTTTTGAGCATCTTGACCAAGTTGTGCTCGCTCAACCACAACAACAACAACGAACCGCCTTGGATTGCCCTCGTAATGCAAGTGTTAAGTCTAGTAAGCACGGTCTGAAGAACTCATGCCCCATCCTAAACCGAAACGAAACGAAACCAGCCGAACTGAACTGAAGAGTGAAGTGAACAGCGCCCGAACTGAGCTGAACTGAGCTGAACTGAACTGAACTGAGCTGAACCAGAACTCACACCCATAGCCTTAACTAAAACCTGATTAATTATGAATTGGAATGAAGTGTCTGCACTTGGACTCCACTTTCAAACGTTGCACTTGCTAAAGTCGCGCGCGCGCGGCACTTTTCATATTTTTACGGTTGCGGAGTTTGCGACGTGACGCGACGCGACGCGACGCGATGCGATGCCATGCGACGCGGCTGCAAAAATTGTCTAGGGGCGCATTCGAGCAATAACTACTGTCACGCTATAGGGCCAAGATAAGAGCAGGCGCAGGCGCAGGCACAGGTACAGGGGCGCATCTACAGGTGGACATCAACAGGTGCGCATCCATAACTAAATTACTTAATTTTACTCTAATTAAACATTTTTAAGCTCAGCTTCGTCTGCCTCCACCTTTAACCCTCATCGGCTCACACTCGAAGCTTGCATTAATTTTGTATGCTCGCCTTTTAGGCCGTTAACTTTACAAATTCATATACAATTTAATAAACTATTAAAACTATAATAAATAAATAAATAAAGTTCATACTCCCAAGAGATTTCCCTGGAATCGTTTATGTGATCTTATAAATCGACTTAGTTCTAGTTAATAATATTCACTGATCGTTTTTGAGTTACAGTAAAATTATATTTAACCGATTGAGTTTTAATTAGACAACTCATAGAAAGTGTCTTACTATATCAACAACTTTCAGATAGAATTTGAAATATTTATTATTATATTTCAAATATAAAAAGAAGTGCAAAAGAAGAAACAAAACATTGAAGCAGGAAAGAAGACTATGAATATTACAGTAGAACATCAGTGCTAGCTGAGACTTTCACAGATAGTTTTGCTGCCTAGTTCTTCTTTTAAAGCCCCGTTTTGGGCCAGCACTTTAGACGAAGTACGCTCTTGGCAAAAAACCGACTTATTTGCTTTGCCTTTGCCTTTGCATTCGGCTTTGGCTTTGGCTGGGACTGTGACTGTGACTATGGCTGTGTCTGTGTCTGTGTCTGTGACTGTGACTGGGCCAAGTCCTGCACTTGAACATGCACAATGCTCAACTGCTCAAATGCTCAGCGGCACGTCTCACTGTTTGTTGTTGTTGCTTTATTTTTTTATCATATAAACGGTGCGATTTAAATTAATAATTAAGCTTGGGCTTGTACTGGGCTGGTTCTGTTTGTGTTTGCGTTTGCGCTTGCGCTTTGGTCTTTGGATTGCGTTATTGGCGAGGGCAGCAGTTCGCCAGCTGTTCGTCTTCGTCGTCTCCGTGCCCGTTGCAGGTGGATGCGGATTAAACCGCCACAAAGTGCAATAAATCAACGGAGACATTGTCCATTGGCCATTGACCACTCGCCAGCAACGAGTGCAGCCACATGCGAAGCCCTAGCCCAGGGTAGCCAGAGTAGCTTGAGTAGGAAACGTAGTTCGTGTCATCATTGATATGCCATATAAGATTGTGTCTGATTTTCATTAGCGATACATATGCGGAAGACAAAAAAGAAGAACCCCATACGAAAATAAAATAAGAATATAAATATGATTATCATAACAATGTCTTCAAATGAAGAATTCTAAGACCCAAGACTCATGCCACAAGCATAGTTGCAATTGCGAACTTTCATCACATTGGAGATCAGATATCTAATCGCGCTAACAATCGACAAAAAGGTGTAAACATTATTGTATATCTTAGCCATTAACAACAGAAATTGGCAAGATTTTCCATTGGATGATCAATCGACTTTCGCCTGCTTAAAGTGTGAAAGTAATTGAAAAAGCTTTAAGTTCGCAATGCTGAGAAAATACTCTCATATAGCAGAGCCAACACAGTGCAGAATACGGGATTGCATAATAATGTTATGCATTATGGTAGGTTTGTATAAAAACCACTCAACATCTCGAAGTGTTTCCTTTTCCATTTACTAGGGATCTTCATTGGTCACTTTATACTTGTTGAGACTTAAGATCTTCAGTCTTATGCAGCAAGACATTGGGCTTTGAGGGATTGTTCGGATAGACAAAGCAGTTGCGAAGGCAACAGTCTGCTCCCTAGAGTCAACACAGCCCTGAACCTATGGAAAATATAACTCTGGAAAGAAACGGCGTCTGTTTGTCCGCATAAACGTCGTGAGCTTAAAAACTACAGAAGCTAAAAATTTGAAATTAAAAAAAAAAAACATTTTTGTATACTCCACGAACTAAAACTCTACCATTATATTTGTAATATATTAAAATTGATATTTCACCAAGGCTTTTTATCTCAGCATCTAAAATCACCAAATCTCTACAACTTAGAAATATGACACATATCACATTCGAGCCCTGAAAGTGTCGATAGGAGCTTGCTTTGAGAGTCGCATCTTCACACATTGGGAAAATAGAAATGGAGGGATATAATAGGAAGAATTGCACTTGCTAAAACAATCCAGGTCAAGGTAGGCTATCTCTCAGTCGAGCAGTCGGATTGAGAAATAAAATTGTCATGAGAGGGAGAGAGAGACAGATACATAGAGAACAGAGAGCATTGATAAAACTGTCACAACAGTCAAACATGTGGCTGAAACAGTTTCACTAACACAAAATTTGCCGTGCTCGTTCACCGAACAGTCCAAATAAAACAAAAATCAACTGCACAGGAGAGAGAACCTAAGATCAGTTGAAAAAAATAACAGAAGGACACATCACACAAGGACAGTTCAAACTGCGAGACTAGAGATTGTCATCCACGCAGTTAGAATGAATCAATTGTCGCACTAGGAGCAACAACAACAACATCGATAGCAACAGCAAAAACAGCAACAGCAACAGCAACAGCAACAGCAATTGCAATTGATCTTGCATTAATCGAGAAGTGCAGCAGCGTTAGCCAGGATCAGGGCGAGCATCAGAGTTGGAATTGGAATTTTAATTGAAAGCGGTACAAAAAATTCAAAGAGAGATGCTATTTATGGATGCACTGTTCAACAGCCTGCTGGTGGTCAGCTCCGGCTATGCCATGTATACGCTGCATCCATTGCAGACACCCTATGGCTATGCGGCGGCGGCATTGAGCCTGGTCCATGGATTGCTGGGCGTGGTGCGGGCGGTGAACAATGACGATGATGAATGCAATCGATTGCGCCAGATAACTTCTGGTATTATGGAGCTGGTGCCACTGCCATTAACCAATATTGAGCTCTATTTGAAGTCCTCAAGCCCACACTTGGCTATGGCGCACGGCTGCTTTTTGGTGCCGCTCACCTTCGATTTAGTGGCTAAGTGGCGTGACGTTGAAGACAACTCAACGGTAACGCTCAAGGATCTGACACTACTCGGTAACGTAGTGTCGCTTCTCTTTCTGGGCGTCAATCAGTCGAGTAACATCTATGGGGGCATGGCTGCAATTGCCTTTGGGGCACGATATGGATCCGTCATGTTCGACTATCACTGGGAGGGACTCGGAGTCCATTTCAATTTACTGGCCAATTCTGCCTTTATTATGCTAATGGCCATGACACTGACCACGGCCAAATCCTAAACAATATACCCAACCTAACCACCAACTGATGAGCAGCATCATTTGATCTTTTGTTTCGCACGGCTCAAGGCTAACGCATTCGGTTCATTGGCTCAACAATGGCTCAAGCGACAGCAGTTGCGGCGGCGGCGGCGGCTCAATAAACTTGCAATTAATGTTGGCAAATTAAAATGCACAAAAATAAACATTAATTGTTTTGTCAAAAATTAAGTGTTTCTTCCTCTCCCTCTAGTCCTCTAGCCCTCTCTGAGCCTCTTTCTCCGGGCAGCGACTACAGAGACAGCCGGCAACAATTCAAGGCAAATTTATAGGAAATGATGAGCCATTGAGCAGGAATAGCCAATGCTAAAGCGAACCGGTTCCGAATCAGTTCCGAGCCAGACACGCTTACAAAGTTTGCTTAATCGATGTGCTATCAAGAATATATACGTATTTATTATTGCTTGCTTAAGTCAATATGTAAGCTTTCTTAAGTGCTATACAAAAGTAAGAGGAAGCCAAGAAAGTTGATGTGGAGTGTGCTCTACGTATGGAGCAAGTTTAACCTAAATCGCGGTTTTTATCGCTGCCTAGCGGCTATGTATTAGTCGGGCAACCCCTATTGCTCACTTTGAATGCTGTAGAACGAATGTAGCAAAGCTCTCCTTATACCCTTTCAATAGTTATGAATGCTGATTAAAATATATATTTGTATATTTTTAGCTTCAAAGGTTAGTTATAGCTGTTTTAGTTCAAGTAAATACACTTCATAAATTATTGATTGATAACTACACATAAAAATGTTCGCTTAAATATACCGCGTTTGCGCTGCTAATGACAATCCTAACCACAGGCACACACAAACAGCCACACATGCGGGGTGCACTGCTTGCATTTGGTTGTCAATTCGCATTTTGTTGCCTGCTTTTGGGCGTCGACAACGACAGCGGCGAAAAGCAACAATCGAAAGGCGAATTCAGGAATGGTCATGGAAACTAATAGGAACCCGTTAAACTAATGAAACGGCGCCATAAAAAGCGAAAACAAATGTGCGGAAAGCAGAACCGGATAGGGCGACCGACAATAATTTATACATTTTAATTAATGGACAGTTCAGTGTGTGTGGATTTTAGGGACGTTTTTATGATGTGCTCAGGGCCTCTCAAAGCTGTGGTTTCTGCTTCGATCGTATCCTCAGTCCCAGCCCCAGCCTCAGCCCCAGCCCCAGCCTCAGCCAGGCAACTAATCATGTCGTTTTTGCATATGTATCTATGTATGTACATGTACATATATGTATGTATATATGTGCGTATGTATGTATATATGTATATGTGTATGTATGTATGTCGACTGCGGCGCATGCACAACAAACAAATCCATTTTGTTTTTGACAGACCTTCGATGCGACTCAGACTGCGACTGCAAATGCGGCAGCGAAATCAACGACAACGGCATATCGCATCGGCAAAGAAAACAAAAAATTAAAGCTAATGAAAGAAGTAACCGCAAACGCATTTCAAAAATGTACAACAAAGAAGGTAAAAATAACAATTGATGACAGAGAGAAAAAGATAGAAAGACAGAAAAAGAGTGAGAGGAAAAGCCAACAGCATACATATTCAACATAAACGAAAACAAGATAAAAGAGAACCAACAGAAGAAAACAACAAAAAGCAAACGAGCGCACACTGCGCCAGCGCAGACGTTGCTCATGTCAGCGTATGCCGCATATGTGCGTGTGTGTGTTACTATATGTGCGTATGTGTGCAAGTTCAAAAACCTGCAAATATACATACATATGTATGCATGCATATATGTATACTGTGAGTCAATCGCAGTTTGCCCCGACAGAGACAGTCGCCAATAGACTGAGTTTCAGTCGCAGTCGCAGTCGGTTAAAAATGCCGGCCGGTATATTCGTTGTTTGCGTGATTTTAAGAAGACAAAAAATAATAATAAAACGAAAAGAAAAACAACAAATGCGAGCAGCAGCCACAAGCAATAAAAGGAAGAAAAAAACAAGAGCAACAATGAAGAGTAGAAGGCGAGACGAAAACACAGAGACAGACGGCGGTGACGCGTCACATATGCATGCAAAATGGACCGACGAATGACGGCACGTCAGACGATGAACGAACACTGCAAAACGCAATGGCACGAATACAGCTAATGAATGCGAAGTGGTACATATAAGAATGAGGCTAAGTTTATAAAGGCGACGATTGAGTACCCTACGCATTGAAATGCAACAATGAAAAGTTATTTAGCTGGATGTACATATGTATACATTCCCAAGTGTGTATGTGCACACATACTATATGTATGCATATTAATATGTATATACCTATGTATGAATGAATGCAGATAAATACATATCAGTCGCAGAGTTAATAAAAAAATCAAAGTGTCTTCTGTTAAAAAGGTCGCGAAAGGAAACGTTCACAATCGAAGAACGCCGACGCAACTTGCATGTACACATGCATATTCACATATTGATATATGTATATATATATATATATATATATGTATGTATGCATACACATACGTATATTGGCTTGTGTGCATACTCATAGTTGTGTGTATTTTGCTGCGCGCCATTCAAAAAGCTTCGCTTTTCGAATCGATTTTAGCAGCGCCTGGCGATGCTGTTGCGCTGCGCTGCGTTGTGTTGTTATTTTTTGTTGCGGTTTGTTGTTGTACGTGATTTGTTTACGAATCTTAACAAAATACTTGCGTACACAAATGCCTTAAATTACCGCGAAAGGCGTTATTCGTTTAAATATTTTGTAGACATAAATACAGGGAAGGGAATCACAGTTTTGTAATTGTTGTTTTTATTTTTATCATCGGGCTTACTTCATCTTCTTGTTATTGTATGCCTCAAAAATCAATAATAGCACATCTAGCAGCCGAATGACGATCAATGCAGCCACAAAAAGCTGTCAATAACACGTTTTTTCTATGTGGGAAATACAACTGCATATATGCATATATATAAGTAAATACATATGTAAGCATGCATATGCATTAAGTCGTGCATGCATGCATACATGTATGTATTTTTACAGTGGAACTTCATTAAAACAAACCTCATTCATTTACATAATTCAACAATTATTGATTTCAATTTGAATAATACTAAAATATAGTCAAAGTAATTATAAATATATAAAACAAATTGGTGATAATTACATATTTTCGTTTTATTCTGCAATATCATTCATCTGGTTCAAGTTAGGCATGTTCAACTGTATTCGCATATGTACACGCATTAGACTGTTTGATTGAGGGTCTGAGTCACAACTGCAAATTCCATATGCAAGTATATAGGTATGTACACATGTTCATGTATGTGTGTAGTATGTATGTATGTTTACTTGTATATATGCAGAGCCATTTAATGTGGGAGTTTATACTATGACTGGAGAGCAATGCGACGGCTTTAATGTACTACAGTCCATGTCTACATATGCATACACATATGTATGTATTTGCATACATGTTAATAGATTATAAATGAGTAAATTAAACGTAACGGCTTTCGTGCCAAGAACGCTTGCCCCACTGTGCGAAACTGCTTTCAGAGTTCAGTGAACAATGGAACAACCGAATGAATGAGTGAGCGTTGCAAAAAATTAAGAGAACACACAGACACCGTAAACCGATGATTGGAATTATGAGATTCGATGTGCCGCAGTACCACATGTGAAGAACAGAATCGTATTAATGCGTATAATATATATATATTTATATGTTTATCCGATATTTAACGAAAACCTTGAATTGTTTTAAATAAAGACTTTCTAATTTAACTATAGATTATATAATATTGTTTTGATTGATTACATCGTATTAATACATAAACAATATATGGGAATATGTATGTATGCTTTTAAATGTAAACATATGTTGATGCATAAATATATGTATATATATGTATATTATCAAATTATCACTTAAGGGGATATGCACGACTACGATACACCCATAAACACTTCTTAGAGATGCATAATAGGCTTTGTGGGCCTTGGCACGCCTCTTTTTGTCGGTTACATACAATTGAACGTAACCATTATGCCCTAACTTAGCATTTTTAATGATTTCACGGCATACTAAAAATAAGCTTTAAGAATTCTCAAAGCTAATGATTTCTTTGATATCTCATTTTATTTTTCTTTTTATTTTTAGCTGCTATTAATCTTAATTAAAATATTAATTAATTTGGATATGTGAATATATATTAAAAGAATTTGGAAAACTTATGTTTGATCGAATACTATCCATTGACATTTCAAAGCTTCCCCTTTCCAGCTCGAAGTGTTCCCAAAGATCATGGAATCTAACATTATATATAAACCAGTCAGAATATCAATATTTATACTAATTAACACGAATGCCTGACTAACTATATATACACATATATATTTATGTAAGCGTATCATCTACATTATGAATAAGTGGGTAGATTGAGTATGTGTGATGTATTCAGCACTTGCATTCATCAGTCATAAGGTACAGCGGCTGGTTAGAAAGGGGGTAGCCAGGTAAGAGGTGTCAGCTGCCAAGAAGAGGGGTCAATGTGCTCAGAGCCAGTCCAGCCACAGCTATGCCCGTCATACCCCTATCCTAGCCTGGCTGCAATTTCAATTAGCATAAGCCATACGTCCAGTCAGGCAATAAGAACTTGTTAATTGTGGCAAAGGCGATTTGGCCAAACATTTCCGCAGCTGGGGAGTCATTATGAGTGGCACGTTAACGAGCAGATGCCCACATGCTATTTAGAAATATGCATATATATACTAAATATATATACGTAGAGACATATCTGACCGGAATGCAGAGTTGGCAAACAAGGAAGTCAAGCTGGAGCTGCGAAATTGAAACAATGCGTTGTTGGAACGATTATAAAACATGAAACATGAAGCACGAAACACCAACCAAACACCAAACACCAAACACAAAGCACAGCACCGCACAGCACAGAAACATGAAACGATAAAGGAAACAGCTAAATTAGTGCGAACCATTTGCATTGATTAGGTTAATTCATATTTGAATGTTTATTTGATTTGCCTCATATGGAATTAGCATATTAGACTTCGTCAACCAGATCGAAGGCATTATTGGCCCGATCACCTGTGCCCTACGATGCTTGCGACTCACCTGCTGCTGGTCACCTGTTTGCACCTGTCT